CTGTCAGTTAGGCAGATAAAATTTCTGAGTGTTTATTTCAGACGCTGATCAAACCAGAGGTGGGGAGAAGTGGAGAAAAATATGCATCTACACACTGAAATCGAGCGATAGGTTAAACTCAGTGTGTGATAATATTTTTCCATGTTTCCATCATCCCTCTGCCAGCCATAAACCAGAGGACCGCTTGGGGCCCCCCCCCCCTCCTTGCGACATTGCAGTAACGCACTCACACAGCTCTGCTCCTGATCTCTCCTCCATCCTCTGCTGTGAACTTTGACCCCTGATTTTCTCCGTCTGGGTCCTGCACCTGTTGGTCTCCGAAATGATGGAAAAGCCCCCACTGCTCACGGCTCCCCTGCTGTCCCAGCTTCCTCAGACCCTCGTCTGTTTCTGTTTAGACTCTTAAGTGATCAGGCTCACAACTCACTGTTTCATTGTACATATCAACAGCTTGACATCTGGGGTGTGAAATTAACAGCTCATTACTGGTGGATTTTGGTTCCAGCTGCTTTATATACGTTTCCTGTTCTAAAATTGTTCCGAATTTAACGAAATAAATCCCACACACTGGCCTTAAGTATTATCATAAAGATGTTTTGGTCATGTGACCTCACTTATACTATTTTCCTTGCCCTGCTGCCATTTTAATAGGTTAACCTAATTTTGTTTCCGCTCCCAGAAAGTCCCAACTCTTCAGTTTGGTCTCAAACAATGTAATGATCTTATAAAGATTTCTCCTGTTATTTTTCTGCTTTGAAGAATCTTCAAATGACTCACAGACACATGAGGACAGAAGTCCTTGTGGCGCATTAGCTTCTGAAAGCGTTTAATCCAAAGGGAGGCACTAAAACTGGGTGCTTAGACCAGATCTGTGCTGGAGCTCAGTTTGCACAAAATACTTGCACATCTGTGGGCATGAAATGCACAAAATGAATCTTCCAGCTGTATTTGTTTACTGATAATCTCTCTATCATAAATCTGCCTCTTGTTGGTACTACCAGACACTGCTTTACACACTTATGCTCTAATCAAGGGGTCTCAAACATAAGGCCCAGGGGCTAGAAATGGCCCCGCAAAGATGCCAATCTGGCCCACTGCCGGTCTTTGGTAAATGTGAAGGAGGACATACATTTTAGACTTTTAACTGTATTTTCATAACTTTCACAGCTTGTCTTACTGATAAAAACCTCCCACAAGCATCCATAATACACCAACGTAATAGATAAACTAAGATTTCTTTCATTAAATAGAGCAACATTTCTTTATCACTTAGTAAAACTAAGATGTGCTGTTGAAATTGCACTTCTACTTCTTGAGATACCTCAGGATTAAATGTGCACTTCTTTAGACTTACAGAAAGGGGAGTTTCATTGGTCCAGCCCACTTAAGATCAAAGTGGGCTGTATGTGTCCCCTAAGGTAACGGACGTTTGACATCTCTGTTCTAATCTATTCGTTATGGCTACAATTGCTCAGCAGTTTATAGGGAATGATGATCTTACTCTGTGCTACCTGCAGCTTCTGCTTGTGGTTGGTCAGCTGTGTGAGGCC